ATTAAAACACTATTTTTGGTATCACTTATAAGATAAATATTTTTTAAAGGTAAAGTCAAATATTTTAATGAAAAATGTATATCATAGATAGAAATGTCAGAGTGAATTTAACCTTGTTGACCCAATCTATCTATAAATATGGAGTAGAGTAGTAACAAGAAGAGCAACAACAACACCAAAAACATCTCTCTAAAATTAAGAAATGGGTCGTACAAAGAGATCGATAAAACTCAGCGAGAGCAAAAGATCAAGGCTATCTACTTTTTCGAGACGTCAAGCTCGCATTTTTAAGATGGCTGATGAACTTGCCAAGAAGTCTTATGAACTTGCCAAGATGACTGATGAACTTACCAAGAGGCCTGATGTTGAACCATTCTTCAACAATGTACTTGAACGTCTCATGGGAGAAGAGCCTAAGGAGGTATGTGTCCCATTATTTTATATATATATATAAAATATATCTTATGTTTATAAATTCTTTTTGTAAATTTTAGATTTTTAGTAAGAGGAATCAAGAAAATCTTGAGAAGATGACTGTAGAACAGGAAATGGAGGTCTTGGTTGCTTTCAAGGGGAAATTGGAGGCCCTTCGAGCAGAAATATGCAGGGTTGAAGAGAGGAAGGCTTCGGCTTCTCTCTTGATGCTCTCAAGGGAAACAAATGATCCTCGGAACTATGTCGAATAGACAAACATTTCGGAACTATGTTTTTAATTTCAAGAAGTTTATGGAATAATTTTGGTGGTTGTAATTGAAGGAAGTGTATGTGTCCTTCATCTTTTTGTCTTTTTACAAGGATTTTTCATAAGTCCCTTTTTCAATAATAATACAAGTTTTTTTATAATAATTTACAATACATGTGATTATATATATGTTTAAGATAATTTGGCATAAAGTGTCCCATGAGTTTACATATGATTACAATGTCATATCAGTTTTAATAAAAGTGAATAATATACAGCTAATAGAGATTGAAAGAGAAGATGCAGAAAAACAGCTGATGAGTGATTGAATAGTGTGAACTCATTTTTTTCTCCGCACCTTCATTTTAAGAAGAGATTGAAAGAGAAGATGCAGAAAAACAGCTGATGAGTGATTGAATAGTGTGAACTCATTTTTTCTCCGCACCTTCATTTTAAGAAGGTCACACTATTAAGATTTATTCCCTTCTTCTGTGCGTGTGTGTATATATTTTAGCTTATATAATTGATAAGAATAAAATCAAAGTAATAGATAAGGATAAAATCAAAGTTAATAACCATGTGTTAATACCTCAATTGGTAAAGATCTCTGGCAAAAGCTTAGAGGTCGCCGGTTTGAGTAGCGCTTAGGACGAGACCATATAACATGCTTTGGTCTCGGATTTGAGGGGGTGTATGAGTTTCGGCCCAGAACCTCTATGATTATTAAATATATATATATCAAAGCTAATTATCTCCACTATATTACAGTTTAGTTTGGGTTCAATTTGAAGTAGTACATGAGGTTATTGATTGCCTGGTAAAGGTCCAAATTCAATATGTACAATATCAAAGGGTAAGTTGGGTTAGTTACTAAACAAAAATATATATAAAAATTCGATTTAATTATTGGTTTGGTTCGAGTAACAATTCTCAAGAATCTGGTATTATTTGATTTAAACATAGTTTTAAGGCGTTTTCAAGAAATTTTTGTTTTAACATGTGTCATCTGATTCGATATAATTTGTACATGTGGGATCTGACTCAGCAAAAATTGTACACATAGTATTTGACGCATCATAGTTGGCCAATATCAATCTGGTCAATGTTGCTTTCAACATATAAATTTGATAGCTCGTGTAGTTTATTTGAAAAATATCTAGTTTGGGTTGAAATTGGTACGCACTAAAGTTGAGGTATAAAAACGACATTTTTGAAATTGTATAGGTTGAATTCGGCTCTTTACACATTGATTACATCATTACATATGTACTCATACTGTTGGGAGTGAATTTGCAACAACTAATTATATGATACTGTTGATTTCCAGGCTTCTGCATCTGAAGGATGCGTAATCTCTCCATCCGATATATGCTCTGCATGCCATCTCATTGAACACGCCGTACGCTCAGATTGATATAGCCACTTCAACCTCTCTGTTATCGGTAAATACCACATCCGCTTATAAGGAACTGGAACTCTACCGCATGTATCTTGATATCTCGGTTTATGACAAAATCGACAGCTTGTCCTATTTTTATCTTCCCTCCAAAATATCATACAATTATTTTCACAGACATCAATCATCTGATACGGCAAACCAGGACCAGCGACAAACTTCTGAATCTCGTAATATGTACCAGGAAATTTGTTATCTTCAGGCAAAATGTCTTTAACAAAATCAGTTATCGCATCCACACATTCCTCAGCCAAATTGTTGTCCGTCTTTATCGTCATCAATCTGCTCGCAGATGATAAAGCCGAATGACCTTCTCTACACCCTCCATATAACGGCTGCTTAGCTGCGTCTAACATAGAAAAAAACTTTTGTGCCTCTGCATTAGGTTCCTCTACCCTATCAACATTTTCTCCTACCGACTGCATATTTTCCCTGTACACATCATTCACCATCTGAACAGTACCTACACCATAATCTACTTCCGTTCTAGGTTCCTCTACGCTATCAAAAATATATGGTTCGCTAGAACTACCGTACTCAGATCTTTCGCCATGGAGAAACCAAATCTTGTAACCCGGCATAAAACCATTGGCATAAAGGTGACCCCATACTAAATCAATCCTAATATTATGAGAATTTTGACAAAGTGAACATGGACATTTCAACTTACGGGTTGTTTTGGCGCTCGGTTGTTGACAAGCTAATTCCATGAATTCTCCTACACCACGAGCGTACTCATCTCTCAGTAGATTCGACTCCGGATCAAACATCGGTTCGTCCATCCATGATCGAAAATAATTTGAATATGACATTTTCGTATTTGTTCTCATAGAAAAAGAAGTGAGATGGTAAGAATGAGTGGCTTGGTTATGTAAAGGGAAAATAAACCACGTTTCCGTCAATAATCCGTCAATAATCCGTCGGTTATTCTGAAAATTTAAACGGCTATAAAACGGCTATATTAACTTATCTATTTACCGACGGATTTCCGACAAATTATAAAAACGGTAACATTCCGTCAGTTATCCGTCGGTAAAACTGGTGGATTACTGACGTACTCATTGGCATCGGTAATCTGTCGGTAATATGGATAGATTACCGACGGATTATTGACGGAATGTGATCCTCGCTTAATAACCGACGGATTACCGACGGCTGATTTTTCCGTCGGTAATCCGTCAGTAATTACCTTCCGTCGGTAAGCCCGTCGGTTACAACCTTGTTTTCTTGTAGTGTTTGTATTGATTATGAAGAAAGACTTTTATCCGCTTTTGAAATTACTTTCTCGCTACTTCCTTATCTTTTTCTTAGCATCATGCATCTTCAATAATAATACAACTAGATTTAGGTTTAACTGTATATTAAAACACAAAACATTACAGAGCCTATTACACATACGACTTAGCACATTCAAATTTCTGCTTGACCTTGCATTTGACATCATTTGAGATTTTATAGTCTTGTTCATATAATAGCTACGGGTTCCCCGATCCTCTTGCATCCACTGCACTATTTATCTTGAGATGACTATTATATAGTTACAGCTTGCACTTTTATTATATGCAATCATATATTTTATAGAGATCTA